ACCCCAGCGCAGGTTTTCCCTGCCCCCTGGTCCCCTGGTCCAAGCTGGGACCCACTGGACGACCCAGACGACCACTTCACCGACCTGGACATTAGCGACTCCGAGGAGAACAGGGTGGTGGCACCTAAACGTGTCCGCACACCATCCCCGTCACCTGCACCTGGGCGAAGGGTCAAAAAGCGACTAGAGTTTCCCCTGGGTGAGCCCATGGGTGACCAAGGTGGTAACCATGATGGTACCACCACATCTGCTGATGCAGTGAATGATGCAGGCAACCCTGTTGTTAATGATATCATGAGGGGGAATCTTTTAACAGGGAGGCGTGAGCGGGACGCCACACCTAGTCCCCGCAATGGCAGGGCTTACATCACCCCAATTAATGCACGTGGTAATGCTTTTCTGCAAACTGGGGGCAATGGTGCTCTGGAGTACCCCATTGTTTCCCCCTCTGTTATGGTCTCAGAGGTCTCTGCCCGTTAGTATGCTCGCGCCTAATGAGGCGCTTGGTGAGAATAATCGGTTTTCTGATTCCCTGTTGGGACGTAGACCCGTCCAGGAGCGTCTTGGGCCCCTATTCGGGCCCCCACCAGTCATGCAACAAGCCTGGTTTTCACACCGCTGGCTATGGCCATGCACAAAATAACAATGGGAATATTTTCGTACCAACCACTGCAGGCATCTTCCCTGGGCCCCCCGTAACTTCCCCCACCATGGACTCTGGTAGTATTCACCAACTCCATGAAGCTATCAAGGGGGGGCGTGCGCACATTGACATGCTTCAATCCCAATTCGATTCCTTAATCAACTCAAACCCCGGCCCTATTCGGCCCCAGCCCCTGTATCCACCTAACCCCCCCCAGTTTGGCCCCTACGTTCCCCCCCCGGCGCCGCCAGCTCCACCGCCTCCGGTCACGATGCCCCCCCTAGTTTGGGGGGGCCCTCAGGTGGGGTTTCAACAGGCGGCATTCGCCCCCCCCGCGGCATACGCCCCCCCACCTCAGCAACCGGTTCCCCTGGTACGAACCGGCTTCGACCACTCGCGCTTGCAAGCGGCCCCACCAGCGCCACGACAGGGTACGTACCCCGGTACCCCGTTTGTTCCAGTTCAACCGCCCAAACCTCTGCTTATTTCAGATTTTTTGACCGCAAACACTGTAAATGCCCTTAGGCGGGCAAACCAAAACGTGATGGTCGACAATTCGACGGGTTTTCTTTCTGTTCACTGCCCTACACCTCTGGCGTGTCCACCAAAAAGATAAAATGCCCTGATAATGTGGCGTGGATCAAAGGATCTCAGCGCATAAAAACGGCCTTAATGCAAATCGGTGCAATCGAGGGTCCTGACTATGATCGGTACCAGGAATCGTGCCTCACACTACTGTTGGACACCAAATGTGGGGGCCAGGGTTGGCACCTAGATGTATTTTTGGAATTTGACGAGGCCCATCGCCTGAGTCCAGCTTGAATGGGCCACGGGGAGTGCGTTTGATGTGATATGTCCTCTGCGCATGGCTAATTTTGCGGCAAAGGCCGCAGCCAAACAGTCGAAACCGGCCCAGTCCTTTCTTGAACCAGGAACAGGTTCTCGTCGCCCCGGGGGCCGCACGCGGGGCCCGGGTCACGTGCGCTGCTTCACCTGGTGGAATACCGGGGCCTGCACCAAGGGTACCGGCTGCGCGTTCGCCAAGGCTCACAAGTCTTGCCCCTGCGGCGACCCTCGGGACCACGCCCCAGGCCCCTGCCCCAACCGACCGGCCAGCCCCGGGGACTCTGCGGCAGCCCCCGACCACAGGATAATCGCTGCCCCGGTCGCCGGCGGGCATGGCCGCCCGCCCAGGTAGCTTGGATCGAGAATTTAATCTCTCTTCGCCCTCTTCGCTTATGTGCGTGGCAGGCTGAACTTCGTAATGACGAAGATAAGAATTTTTTGCTTTATCTGATTGAGCACGGCCTCAGTTTGACTAGTGGTACGCACCGTGGAATCGAATCTTTCAAGTGCAATAATTACAGATCGGCTTACGCAGCTCGTGCGCAGGTGAATGATGCCTTGCAGCCTGACATTCGCGCATATCGCATTTTCCGACCGTACGACGGTCAAACTTCTTCGTACGTACATTCTTTAGGGGCGGTATCCAAAACAGAGTCAAGTGTACGGGTTATTCATGACCACTCGCGACCAATGGGTCGCTCGCTCAATTCCCATCTAACCCAATCCAATTTTTCCTTTCAGTCTGTCGACGACGCTGTGCGGCTTATGAGCCCCAATTGTTACATGGCCAAAGTCGACATCGAAGCTGCGTACCGCTACGTCCCTATCGACCCGTACGACTGGGACCTAACAGCCTTTTGTTGGCCGTCTGATTCATTAGAAGATTTATACTTTGATGGGTACTTGCAATTCGGACTTAAAAACGCTTGCAAAGTTTTTAATCGTATTGGGCGCGCCATCGTTAGGATGATGGCTCGTCGAGGATTCAAGTGCGTAATTGTGTACGTAGACGATTTCATCATAATTTGTGCAATCGAAGCAATGGCTTGGTATGCATATTGGACTCTTCGCATCCTCCTAAACAAATTCGGCTTTAAGGTCAACATGCGGGCACATAAATGTATCGCTCCGTGTCAAATAATCGAATTTCTTGGCATCACACTTGATTCCGTTACAATGCAAGCCCGCCTAAGCGCCGCCAAATTAGCGACCCTCTCTATCATGGTTTCCGAACTCTTGCACCGTAGCAACATCACTCGCCGCGAACTTGATAAAATCAACGGGAAACTAAATTGGGTATGCAAAGTCGTGTACGGCGGTCGCACATTTTTGCGTCGCCTTATCGATGCTCAATGGAGTGTCTCTCGCCCGCATCATCATATTCGTATTTCCGCGGGAATCCGTTTAGACCTACAATGGTGGGACCAATTCTTGACTCACTTCAATGGACACACCACCCTTATTCCGAGCCGGCCTCTCTCGTTCAACGACATTTCTACCGGCGCATCCTCATCTTTTGGGTACGGCGCATTTTTGATGGGGGGTTATTTCTCCCTTTCCTTTTTCGCGGCTCGTAAAATATTCCCGGATGCTCCCGATCCATCCGAACCAATCCATGTTCACGAGCTCTTTGCCGTCCTCATCTTATGCCGAATATTTTCGGCCGCCCTAAGGGGCCTTTTCGTACGATTGCACAAAGACAACACTATCGTGGTAGCCGTCATTAACAAAGGAACTGCCAAAGGGACTACGGGCCCCCGCATGATGCAGTTTGTTCGAGAAATTTTTTGGTTATCTGCACACCACAATTTCCGGCTAACTAGCACTTACATATCTTCCGAAAATAATTCGCTGGCGGATGAAATGATTATTCCCGATTTTCCGTACTCCTTGATGACTGGAAAAATGGTCGCCACCTTCTACTCAAATCTGACATCTGATTTTGTGTCCAGACCCCCCTCTTCCGGCCCTGGTGGAGAAAATGCACGGGTACATGGTCAACTGGTTGGCCGCCTCCTCGCAACGCACCTACGGAGCTTTCGTGAGGTATTATGTCACTTTTTGCTCAACTTATAATTTTCAGCCCATTCAACCGGCTGAAACCACTGTTTGCTTGTACGTCACAAAACTTGCTGAGACGTGCTCGTATAGGACAATTAAGACGTATCTTAACGGCGTCCGAATTCTTCACTTAGAAGCCGGGTTAACGAACCCGCTCCCCGCCATGTTCAATCTGGAGCGTACTTTTAGAGGTATCAAGAGGTCAAAGGGCGACGTTACTCCTAACCGCAAACTGGCGGTCACCCCTGATATATTATCCCGAATAATTCGTCGCTTGGATATGTTCAACCCCGGCAATATGGCCTTCACCGCAGCAATGCTTGTCGCATTTTTCGGATTCTTTCGAAAGGCCAATGTGTGCCCGGTCCATAGTGGGACCAATCCTGTTGACGAACAATCCCCGGTTAAACGCTGCGATTTTGAATTTAGCGATAATATGACATTGGTCTGGGTCAATCTGCGACGCACAAAAACCATTCAATTCGGCCAACGAACCCTTCGCGTTCCCCTCCCGGCAATCCCCGGTTCCGTTCTGTGCCCGGTCACTGCACTTAGCCGCCTATTTGCGGCGGTCCCCGGTCGCCCCGAGGACTTCGCCTTCTCATTTCCGGGCCCCTCTGGCCAACTAACCACCTTTACTCATAAATCTTTTGTCACCGAGTTCAAAAATTCCCTCGCCCAAATTGGCATGGACTCGGCCCACTATTCTGGGCATTCCTTTCGGCGGGGCGGCGCAACATTTGCGTTCCAGTGTGGCGCCACCCCCGCTCAAATAAAAGAGCAGGGAGATTGGAAAGTCTCTGCATATCTCCTTTACCTTGAGTTCGATGACCCGGCCCGTGCCCAAGTCGCTTCGCTTATGGCGAACTCCATCCTGCTTTCGACTTGGCGGTTCCCCGGTCGGCCTCAACACTAGCACCTTCACCGAGCAGAGACGAAGACGGCGTAGCCTAGTAAAGTTAAGCCCGGTTCAGTCACCTAGCGTTAAAACCGACCTGGTCCTTGGAGGGTAGGCTAGTCCTTAGTGTCTTCCTAGGGGGTGACTCGAGCTTGTTCGATCACCCCCCACTCACAGATTTACTAAAGGCGGACCCTGCCTATATCCCCCAGTCGTTCGCAATATTCATTGACTATTATCGGATAGGCTTAGGTGCGATAATAGTGGTGAATACTTCGATAAGACTCTTCGAATAATATTTAGGACTGTGCGTAGTCCGTAGAAATAGAGTATAAATAGTTCATGGCGGAGTTGGAAGTTCCTCATTCCAACTCGCCACTTTAGAAATCTAGCAGAGTCTTGCTTGCCCACCCGCCCTCTACCTGAAAGAGACATACGCTTATTTAGGGTAGGCTAGTCCTTAGTGTCTTCCTAGGGGGTGACTCGAGCATGTTCGATCACCCCCCACTCACAGATTTACTAAAGGCGGACCCTGCCTATATCCCCCAGTCGTTCGCAATATTCACTAACTATTATAGGTTTCCGTTTGGGTTAGTACTAGTAGCTGCCTTCGCGCCTTTGCCCTTCCAACTCGAACTTGAAGAATTGGATCGCACTTCAACTTCAAGCTGCATGAACGTTAATAAATGGTGGCTCCCCACCAGCTGCCACAAGGAAAAGCTGTGCTTCCACGCAATTGGCATGCCACATGCACGCACAAAGGAGGACAGCAGCTGAGGAGCCCCTAGGATCTCAGCAAGATGCCTAGCAATCCGTCAAAGGAAGAGGTGGCAGGTCTGCTGGCACCCCCTTCGTACGAAAGGAGCATTCTGGCGCCCCTCAGCCTTGAAGGCCCTGATGTGGTGGTGCAGAAGAAGTCTTCCTACTCTCGTTACCTGGTTCTTGCTGGTGCCTTCCTCTTGTCAGCAATCATCTGTTTAGCAATTTTCAGCTCAGCATCTGCTGAGCTGTCCGCCACTATCTTGCCGTCCGAGCTGTCAGGCAAGTTGCAGGACTGGAAGCAGAGCTTGCGGGCCAGGAATGTGACGTTGCCGGAGGAAAGTGACGGTGAAGATGGAGACATGCGGAATTGCCCGGCGTGGTTTAGCAGTCTTCGAGAGGACTTCAAGCCTTGGAGTGTAAGTGGCGAGGGTGTCCTTGGTTTGTGCATAGTAAGATGGTGGAATGTTCAGCCAGCTAGATATGAATTCGTTCTGAAAATAATTTCTTTGGAGTCCCTTGGCAACTTCTCAACCAGAAGAAACAGTTGTTTGAGGATATCGTCGACGCTTTTGCCCTTCCATGTGTTGAGCATAGAAAATTCGCCTCTGTTAAGTGCTCTCATCGCTTCACAATCAACAATGCATTGATTGCCACCACTTTGAACTTTTCTTCTTTCATTGCGCCCAAGTCTGTTGGCTGAAGACAGCGCAATCACTTTGTGTATCCTGGACTCTGATCGTTCTCCATTTACAGGACAAAGGAGGGATCACCATTCAGGACGTAGAAGCTGCGCAGCCAATTGCTGCGAGTCGCTTCCAGATCTTGAATGGCAGCTTGTATATGGAAAACTTCCACCACTGCTTCCAGGTACGAACATTTGCAGTGCTTCTGCTGCGCAGAAACAAGCTGATGAGTTAGCTGTACATATCATATTGCCTATCAGTCCAGCTCTTTGATTCTATCTCAGGACCCTTGTGTTGCTCCCATGAAGGCTTGCTTTTTCAGTTGGCAACTTGCCACTTAAAAGCAGTCAAGCACTGAATAAATCAGGCATTTGACCCCATCTTATGGTTCATGATTTCGAGACGCTAGTGCCAATCAGTGCAGAATACATTCGACATTTCCCCTCTTCTCCTTACAGTCACGACTGCGCTACTCGCTCTGGGGCCTTCTGATGCTTCTCCGCAAGTACCCCGGATCTATTCCTGACGTTGACTTCATGTGGGACTGCGGCGACGACCCAAAGGCGTTCAGACCAGCCGACCCTGGAGACCCAATCCCCTTCCTGTTCAACTTCTGCAAGCTGGCCCATAGCATCGACGTGCCCTTTCCTGATTGGTCCTTTTGGGGCTGGCCTGAGCTCCAAATTCTACCGTGGCAGAACCAGAGTGTCAAAATCGCACAGGGGGGGGCGGATGCTGGGGCATGGCGGCAGAGAAAACCAACGGTAAGCCACACTGCTTGGTCGATCATGGAACCAGACAAAGGTGGCCCTGCTTATGAAGATCGTGAGACGACTCTAATTGTTATTGACTCCTGCCACACACTTCGTATTCTGCGAGGCACTCTTGCCAAATTCTTCTTTTCCCTCTGGAGGAGACTCCAGTTCTCTCAGCTGGAGACCTCAAATCTTGTCAGCAGGGAAGCCGTGACCTTTGGAATCTGTCCGCTTCCGAATGGTCGTTGTAGAAGGGTCAAAGCAGTTTCTCTTCGCAAACGACATGGCTGTCACTCCTTTTCTGGCAGGCGTTCTGGAAGGGCAACGTCTGGGTGGGTTATGGCTTGACCCAAAACCTGCGACTGGAGCTGACAGATTGTAGGAGAGACCCTGTCTGGGAGGTGGAAGCATATGGGCAGGATTGGGGGGCCGAAGTAGCAAATGGGTTCCAGTACTCACGTCAATGGCAGCAGTGTGGCTGGAGGTGAGGCTCGCCAGTGGCTTGAGAAACCTCATTTTGCGATTCCAGTAATTGTGCGCACAGCTTAAACATGACTGGTTTCATCTGCAGATGGAGACCTGAAGTTGCTGGTTGTCTGCGGAGTGCTAGACGTGCTTCGAGGATTCTTTAAAGTCTACCACGTGTGTTCCTGTCTGTCCGATGATTCCTGCCACTTCCTGAAGCCTCTGTGTTAGTCGTCAGAATCGTTACATGGATCCAGTCAGTGGCCTCAATGCAAGTTGTTGGATGGAATCTCTCCTTTGAAGACAAAGGTAAAGACGCAGAAAAGCTTCCGAGTCCTCCTCAACAGTCGATTCATAAAGACTCTTCTCAGCTGGAAATGTATCTCCCTCACTTCGTCGAAGTTTAGCGGCTCGGCGGCCGCGGTCGACTGTCCCTCTTTGAGCTGCGGAGGCGTTCAACATCGATTATAGCCGGTTCTCTGTCCCGTGTACAGACGTTTTTGACTCTTGAGAAAGCGTCGATCCACGTCCATCGGCTCCTTGACAACATTCTCAAGCTTTGCAATCCGTTTATGTCGCGCACCCCCAGGTACAACTTAAGTCTCAGGTTGAGTCGACCAGGTCGAGATACACGGTGAAAACTGGGAGGAGGCACTAATCAAGAACTTTAGATACGAACGTATGCGCTTCGTACGCTTGCCAACGTTACCCCCCAAAGTAACCCCGCCTGTCTCCCGGGCACTGACCGATCCCAACCTTGCTGTCTCTCGACCCGTAATCTGATAATACAGATACAAAGTGTATGCGGAGGGCAACGCGTGGTCCGTCAGCTCCAAGTACGGTTTTGCGTGCGGGTCCACGATGCTCGTCATAGAGCCGTACTTCGAGGCGTTTTACAGCCGGGGCATGGCGTATGGCCACAACTGCCTCTTTGTGCGGCGGCGGCCCCTCTGTGAGGCGCTTAAGGAGCAGGTGAGAGGAGTGCCCAGAGATGGAAGCGGGTCTTTTTTCAGTGGTATTCTAGATCTGTTGTATGCTGGCGACGGCCAGAGACAGGTGGCCCTTGGGAAAATAGGTCCAGCAGACTAGAGGGCTTTGATGTGAAAGCTGGCCGGAGGTTTTGATTCTCACAAAACTTGCTTAGGGAGCAGGTAAGAGGAAGTGCCGGAGATGGACACTTCGAGGGCGTTTATTTAGCAGTGCCCTGTGCGTACTTCCGGGCAGAAACGTCTCTCAAAGTCGAGGCTGCCGAGAATGGGCGTTCGGGGTATTTTGGGCTTGGGTAAACTCTCGAAAGGATTTTTCTTGACACGCAGAGCAGATATGAAGGTCGTTTGAGCTCTGAGTCGAATGATCTCCACGAGTCGAGCTCCTGTCAGTTTATGACTGCTGTAAGGACAGAGGACTTCGTTGAGGCGTTTTGGGAAGGTTGCAAGTACACTTGCTTGGGCCTCCTCCATAAAAGCGAACATTTTCACAAACTGTTTCTGACCTGCCCCAAGCGAATAAACCGCCTTGAATGGTCTCGGCCCACTAAGACTCGAAGAAGCCTTTTCAGATTCTGGCCCGTCTCGCTTAGGTGGATATTTATTCCAATCAGGAGAGTTCTGTCCGCTTCGACTTCGATGAGTCGTGTTTCCCGAATCTGGGACTACTTTTCCTGAAGGGCTCGAAAAAGGAGGTGTCGCACAGTCCTTAAACGGTCGTGGTTCGTTGGCGCCTTGCAGATTGATTGGGGAAACGAGCACGAAACGGAGGCGGAGGCGATCGGGCAGGCGGGGCAGAAGTGGATCCTCGAGGACGTCAGAATGGAGCACGTGTACGAGTACATGCTGCACCTGCTGCAAACGTATGCCGCGTTGCAGGTATGCGCAGAATGTCGCACCGTTCTCCACTGCTTGCTGGGCCTTCCTTCTGTAATGTCGCCTTTTGGCGCCCAACTATGGTTTCGGATTTCATCCTGATTTGCAGATCTCTGGGGTTCTCGGCTACAATAAATTGCTGGAGCTGGGGCAGCGCCGTTTAACTTTCTGATCCTGCAGCGGGCAGCCGTTATCTTGAGGTGCTTCCTGACCCATCTATCTTTAGTACTTCAAATGTCTTCTACTTCTGGGCAGTCGTTTGCGAACTTACTGTACGCTCGATTCATTGAAATTTACTATTTCCTTTTTGATGCTGTTTGTCGAAGCTTTTGCAGACATTTACGCCCGCGAGATCATCGGGCGCTCGGCTGGTCACAGAAGCCGACATTTTGAGCGAAGCGCCGCCTCACGAGGTGTCGGAGTATCTACTGCAAGAAACAGTGGCCACAAGGCCGTTGTGCAAACTGGTAGACGAGAAGGTAGGGGCCTCAATTGAAGGGGGGCGTAAATTATCACAGGTGCAGGCTGCACTTAGAGCAGGAAGATTTGGTCGTGAAAGGGCAAACCAAGTCGAGTTGGTGTCCGAAAGAGACGGTAAGGCTGGAACTAACAGAAGGAGCAGGGCATGGCATATGCTAGAATCGACGTGGTTGTCTTGGCTGAGAACGCTGGACGACAATATTTCTCGGTTCTTCGGGAAGCAGAATCTACGGACTTGACAAGGAATTGTGCGCACGCAGTGAGACATGCGAGCAATGTACCCGTGACATCCTTTCTGTATCGATCGTATATAATCATATACGTGCGCTGCATATCGCAGTTCGCACGCCATGGCCAAGACCGGACTCACGCACGATTGTCATTAGCCGGGCCCCTGAAAGTGCATCATGGCGGCTTCGCGGCACAGGTCACTTCATTGCTCTTTGTTATGTAGGACCTGCCCAAATACTACTACCGTGCAAGCAATCAAGGCGCCCGTCACAAATCACTGATTGCGAGGCAGCACTTTGTGACACACTGAGCATCACCGCGCGGTGATCGCGAGTTCACGTACAGCAATCCCGGCGGACGTCGCGCCGTAAGTCAGCATGGGCCTAGGCGGCTGCCGTCAACATGATCAACACCAAGCGTCGGTAAAGCTAGGGCGGCCATTGGCCAGTGTTTGCAAGTCAAGGTTCACCTCAGCTCACGTTACAAGCAGACTGAACATTTGCGCACTGTGACGGTCGGTGCAAGGTTGTCCGACTTGAAATGACCGTCAATATCTGAAGCTTGCAATTTTGCACATGCAATTCACGCCTGGCAGCGTGCATCTTGCAGAGTCGGTGCGAGCTCCTTCAACTTCTACTCAAAAGGCAAAGGGCGCCTGATTCGTCGTACATGTATCTGGCAAACTTCGGAAAAGCGAAGCTTTGAGTTGAAAATAAAGAATCTCGCGAGTCGGCAAGGTTACCAGCAGTCAGCTTTATTCTGACAAGGCATCACGGGCGTGCAACATTCTGCGTCAGGTTTGAGGATGATGACAATCGTGATGCAGATACGCTGTGTTCCGATCCTACGCAGAGTCCTTGCTTCGATTCCTACAATGGAAGCCTCATGGCTATGTGAGTCCTCTAGCTGGACATTGAGGACCTCCTCTTGTACGCCACAAATCGGTCGTACTGGCCGTGCCAGACTGGGACCTCCATTCCGTGAACCTCGACCCACTCGCTGTCGGTCGGTGACATCATGTCCGTCGCGTCTTCTCCGACCCAGAACACCGTGTCGCCCTCGTAGTGCTTCAAGCAGGATTCCATGACGTCACGCGGCCAGCTGAAGAAGAGCGCGCGCCCCGCGGCACCGCCGCCCTTGATGAACTCGGTCGCGTCAGCGCGTTGCACGTCGAAGAACATAGGCGGCTGCGAGAGAGATTGTGGCACATCTCTCAGTATTTTATAGTCAGACGAGGGAAGTACTGACCTATGCGAAGTAGAAACGATTGCTTCTTCATTCCATAAGAAGATGCTAAGACGAGAAGGCAGACAATCCGCGTCTAAGGACTTGACTAACTTCGAAGCGCTGCAGAATTACTGAACGGACGTTTTCGAACGTGCAACTATGATCTCGCAGCCGTAGTTCCTGGAAAACGAGCTGCTCAACCACGAACGGCTTTTTCGCAGTCGCCTTGTATTGGGAAATCCTTACCTGCTTTGCTTTCGCGTTGCCCTTCTCTTCGCTTCCACCGCCCGTATCTTCCGTTCCGGGGGCTCCGCCTTCCGTGCCGTTCCGCTGGTCCGGGAGCCACGAGAAGTCGTCGATCGCCACAACGTCTGCGCCAAGCGCGGCCAAGAGCGCGCTCCAGTAGCCGCGCCCGGCGCCAACGTCCAGGATCCGGCCACCGGGAGCGGAATCAATCATGTAGCGGAGAACGGGCAGCGTCGGAACGGAATGGCTGATGAACTGGGCGATGGCGCGCTGCAGAGCAAATTGAGTCAGCGGTGGGAAGATGACCTCCCGCCGCACCCACCCGTCGAACAGAATGGACCTGCCAAGGTGGAAAAGATAAAATTTGTCCACGGGCGCAGTCTGTTCTGACTGCCACACTGATGATGAGCGGAGTCAATTTCAAGGGGCGGGGTGCCTACGAGGAGCAGAGGACCTAGCTTGAAGCTATTATGGAACGCTAGAGAAGCGGTCAGCCTTCAGGATCCCAAAACGGTGATCGCAAAAGATACAGCCTCATCTTGGAAGAAGCCGTCGAAAAGGGGTCCACTTAAGCTGTCCTGTGGCGGAGTCGACGAGGCGAACATGGTGCATTGCAGAGTCTTTGCTTCAACGGAAAAAGATCACGCGGACAGGGCTAGTAATATCCCCAGAAACAGCATGAAGGAGGAACTTACTTTGCCCAGGGCTTCCAGAACCTCTCGAGCACGGGGTTGAAGCAGTCCGTTCCCTGGATTGCCGGAGGCAGCGGATCCTCGTCGCTCACACCGAGTCGCTCAAGATACGCCTGGTGCTCTGCCATGATCTTTGGATCCTTCAGATTGGCTTCCAAAAGCTGCCTCATCTCCTCAAAGAATGCCTTGCTTCCGATCTTCATGACCAGACCTTCCCCCGCCGGCAGAGTCTTTTCCCGCGGCTCATCCAGGCGCAAGGGCCAGCACAGGAAGAAGAAGTCCACCCAGTCGTCGAAGCTGGAGAAGAACACCGGGGGATCTACCAGGTTATGCAGAATCGCCGAGGTAGGGACGCAGCAAGGGGGCCAGGTTGCTGTAGCGCTGTGAGGCTCAGGGGAGGCTGTGCGAGATATGAAGAGCTGAGACAGTGCCCGCTTCCACTCCTCGGGGACTCGGCGCTTTGCTTCCGTCAACCTGCTTCCGTCATTTCCTTCCTGTGCTGACGTCTCATGACCGGTGAGCGCTGGCTTTGGGTCGGCACGTGCGGCTGTTGGACTGGGGGCCTTCTCGTCCTCAGCGTGCATCTGCAGGAAGAGAGAAGAGCTCGTCTCGAGAATTCGGAAGTGAAAGGACTCAATGATCAAAGTCTCACGTCCCACGCACTTGGATTACCTTTTAAAGTAGCGTAGCTCAACAGAAGCGGAATATATAGTTCTATCTCAAAGATTCTAGAAACTCTTGGCCTTTCCATGTCCTGGCTTTAAGGCAATCATTAAATCCAGATCTTGGACAATAAGAGGCTCCGTTTCCAAGTTAACGCTTAACCTGGAAGACATATTAGGAAGGTCCGATCTACTGGCACTGTTGATTCGTTGTGGATATCTGACGAGTAATCTTTGAAAGTACGTCCTACGCCTGCTTGTTGGGAATCTCTTAGCAACAGCTAGCACGTAGATAAAGACTTGAATTGATGCAAGCCACCCAGAAACATGAAGAAGCAGAGGTAATGAAGTCAGAGGTTACTGGTCGCGTTCAGGACAAACCCTCAGTCTTCAAGCGTTGAGAGAACCATAGATCGGGAGTGGCTACATGGAACTCAACTAAATCACGAGGATAGACGATCCAACGCACATGCACGAAGTGACGCATAGAAGAGTGAAGGATTTCTCCTTGCTTTGCTACATGGTGCCACAGGAAATCATAGATCTGTATGATTTCTAAAGTCAACATCTTCGAGCATGAGATCTAGCTGTAAACAAAAAGGTCAAGCTGATGACTCACCTGCTTCCTCATGGAACCTGCTGATAAATCCTTCTTGGAAGATGTGGAGCTTCTCTCTGGCAGAGAAAAAGCATCTGAAAAGTTGGTCATTGAAGCCCTTTGCGTCCTGAGCTCATGCAAACCAGGATCTGGTGTCATGGATCCCATGTTTGAACGGTGATGTTGCAGGAGGCTGTATCTTCGAACTGCTGAAGGGGAAGTGCTGAGACAAGCTGGTGAAGCTCTTGAAATTGATCGAGCTGCTAGCGCTGCGCACGCCATGAGTATGGTCTAACAAAGCTCAAGAGATGACTCCGCTAGACAATTCAGAGGAAGCGATCGAGATTCTATCCTACTTTACGCATTTCAAGAGCGGCCTGATCGCTGCTTAATGAAACTCCTTTAGTTTGGAATCCAGTTCAAGGGCGAGCAACAGATTGCTGACAGACTTGGTGAGAGTTTCGATCGCAAAAGAGAGGCTATCATCTTACATCAGGTCAGTATACCCAAGGACGGTATCGTATGTTCTCCTGTCTAGATCTACATCGACGAAAGAGACGAGATCTCAATCTAGATTGAGGGTCGACGTAGAAATCTCCTTGAAAGTTTTTGAGTCTCGTCATGCTGAGCTGACATGCAATCAGGAATCCCAAATTTCACTTAAAGGGCCAGATGCACCGTCCGATGATTTCTTTTCACCTCAACGGCTAGGATGGTATAAGAGGACGGGTCCTTGGAACTAGACTGGTCCATAAATCGGGTTAGCTGTTAGCTGCTGGATAGTAACTGTAAGTTGTTTTGCCCCTTTAACCCTCCTTATTCAGCCCAATGCATCTCCCAAGGGCTGCTATCAGGGTATTTGAACAGCAGGACTCGTCAACATCGTTGCCCGGATTGAGGTAAGCAGCCTGTCAGGTGCTGGAACATGGTACAAGGTCGCAAACCAATCTCCCTGGGGTGCTTGGTTCCCGGTGTATGCAATCGAGGTCATCTGCCAGAAGTGATTCGACTATCCGTTGAGCTTGGCAGTCGCCTGGTCAACGCCCAGCCAACGACTCGTTTCCATCGTCTCTTCTAACGTCTTGATTTTCTTGTACCTTTCTTAGGCTCGTGTAAACAAGTATACTTGAGTGCTTGTCTTCGTATAGCATGTAAGTAATATGATGACAGCCACCGGGCTGCTCATGCATATGCAAGGGCGTTTTTATGAGTCCCCCGGGAGTCATCGAGCTTTAAAGCTTTCATTGCAGTAGCCTAGAAAGCCCATAGTATCCGCTTGTTGCGTGGCTTTATAAGCCATACGCCATGTGAACCTAAGTCTTGTCCACTGACGTTGCATTCGCAAATGCTTTGAGAGGACGGTCCACTGCCTTTAGAAGAACCCGTCTTTCTTCAAGTAGAGTCCCTCGAAACACCGAACGGGTAATAACGGTACATCTGTCGACTCGCAAGGGGTCAACCATCTAAGGGTGTTATGCCCGCTTAAGTTTGTAAAGGCTTCAGGCACGCTTTAGGAATCGACCACTATCGACGGAGCCTCTCGAAACACATAGCTGACATCCTACTGACGTCTGCCACTAGTAGATGCTGTCACATGGTCATATTACATGCAGTCCTCATCATGAGTTCATCCAGATTCATGTCTCTCTCTACAGTAGGGTCTCCCCTTTCCACCCGCTTTCACGCAGCCACTCCGGCCAGTCCTTCATCCCAGGATACGCGCGGCGGCCTAAGGTGATGTAGAAGTCGCCGTAGTACGAGAACTCTCGGAACCACGCAAACAACTGCAAATGGAGGCATTAAAAGTCAAGACCCGAATTCAGGACGGTCTTAAAACGACACTAAGAACGCTTCTGACTGAAAATTCCCCGTTTTAAGAAAATATGCGCTCTGAGAATTTCAATCCAAAATGTAAGATCAGTATCGACTAAAAGTTTCCTTCTCAAGATCGATGCTGGACTTTATCCTCTTCGCCCACATTGAAACGTACATTTGAAATCGGGTCTAGATTTACTGTTAGTCAGCCGTCAATCCGTCGATTCAGTGGGGAAGCTCCGGCGCTTGCAACGGAACCTCTAGCCCTTGTGCTCGAAAATCTTTGAGCCCGGAACCTCGCCTGCTTCATCCAAACTTCAATCAATCTCACGGTGATCTGATTCTGCACAGAAGGGATTCGGCGAACTTTCTTCCCGTTCCGCTCTGCAAATAATGCACACATAGACGTGAACAAGCTGCCCCAGTCGATCGCGCGTGAGGCGAGCGAGGGGTAGGATTCGGGGCTGCTTTCACGATCTCAAAGTGATGCGACTCCCAGATTGGCGAGGATCTCAGACTAGATCGGGCATAATACCTGAGCCCTTGATCGCTGCTTCGTCGTCTGGAACGCGCTCGAGCACCGCCTTTTTGCCGGTCACCCTGGAGAAATCTTTGATCCATTTCTTGAAGGGCGCGTGATAGCCCGCCAGAGGGACGTGCCTGCAACAGCACCTAGTGTACGTAATCAGGCAATGACAAACTAGAGATATCCTCTAAAATCAGCCAATGTGTGAAATCAGTTTTTCGATCTCCGTCTAACGCCCGTCTAACAAGATTTAGCGGTGTCCAACGGCTGTCAACCACTTCTGACGAGTATTTCGCTGGACCGTGAAAGGCTCGACCAGCCAGCGGCTAAGCTAGTTCCCATCCTGTATTTGACGACACGATATCGGCTTCCAAAAAGCTGAGTCCTTGAGTTGTTTCCAACGGCTGGTAGTATGGTGCTGCACTGAGATGAGGAGCAAGCGATGAACAAGTAGATAGACAGCTCTCTCTTCAGCAATGCGATACTCGAATCTCTCTACAGTCCGCTGCTTGTAGCGGATCCTTGCAGGATAAGAATAGAGGAACTCGAAGGCTTGGAGAGGTGAAACAGACTCCCCGAGTCCCCGCGCCGATGCGAAGGTGCATATAAGGCCGCATTCCGGGGCGAGATTTCAGCTGACACGCGTAGCAAGCAAGACGGAAACCTTTCCGCACTCCTTGAGATCAGATTTCTACAGGGCAGTTCTAAGGACTCGCTCCGCCCGCCCCTTCAACGCTTTTCCGTGTCGGCTTCTACGGGGAGTTTTCCACCCTTAACCTTGCCTCGTTATAGGCCACCTAACCAGACGCAAAGTGTACCCGCCTGCTAGAAGCACAGGTACCCAACGACTAACCAGCCTTAGTTTACGGCGGTTTCTCTCTGGGTATTCGTACCACGAGTTGACACAGAACGTTTTGGTCCTTAAGCATGGATGGTTATCGGCTGCTTATGGGCTGGTTAGAAAGTGGTTACATGTCCACTAATCAGAATTGGGCGGTAACTAATCTGGGGACAAGGGAAGCTCCCGATAATTTGACCGTTAATCTGAGACTCAAGTCTGGTTATCAGCCTGGTTGGCAGCCAAAACTTTCTGTGTGAACTCACTTGTCGTGCCACTCCTCGGGGTGCTCCAGGATGGTGACGACAGCTGGCCCCGTGTCGCTGACGTCATACCCGGTGTGGCGCGTGTTCTCGTCCAGGGGCACCGTGAAGGTGACCGTTCCGTCCGGCCGGGTCTTGACGAGGCCCGGAATCATGCCCCAGTTCTGGTAGTACGACGCCGGCATCACGAAAGTGTGGTACTTGAAACGCTGCTTGCGGACCACCGGGTCCACCTGCGCGGATGAAACTCAGGAGAGTAAACAACACGCCACGAATAATAGGGACTGGTGGGTGATTTTGGGATTAGGGTGAGTAGGGGTGTGCGTCAAGTGCTTCTTTGGTTCAAGGTTAGTTGCAGCTTGTTATTATCCTGGTTGAATCTTATCTTTCTTGAGTTCATCCTGCGCAGGGTGATCTAGCAAATGTCCAGACTGCATCTACTCATGCAACGAGACGCGTTGGGGAAGCGCTTCTCGACCAGAAACTCCGGAGACGAACCGTTCAAGAATTGAACCGAAAACGAGAACGGCACCTGAAACCAAAGTTTCAAAGCCAGCCGCCCAGCAATGTAGATATTGACGTCCCAAGATTTTGGGTACAGTCCATGCATCGGACTTTGATGAAGGATCGGACTGAGCGGTCTGCCCACAAGAATGGCAACTAGCACGTAGATACAAATGACTGGAAAATAATCTTCCGAAGCACTTCAGGTGCCCAAGCGTTAAAAGCAAAGGGGTTGAAAGCTGCACGCACGACAACAGTACAGCATTCCGGCTCTTAATAGCTGACCTTGGCCTTGTTCGTGAAAACCGGCACATCGTACTTGCCACCGCTTTGCTCTTCTACATTCGGCAGGGTGCTCCAGACGAAATGCGTGACGCGCGCTTCCTTCGCTCCCTCCGCAACTGCGGTACCGACCTCCACCTCGTGAGGTCCAAGAGCGGAGGAATCTGTCACCTGCAGAGCGACAAACAAGGCGCTTAAAGAACTTTCAGTCATTCGAAGGGTCTCAAGATACCGCAACAAATCTTTTCTTTTCTTTCGAAGTATCAAACTCGAACTTCGATCATGTTCAGCTCACCGTAGACGGCAGTTTCACGGCCAGTCTTTCCGCATTTGATACAACAGTTTCCAGTGCTAATTCCAATCAGATACCTCGTGCTCAATCCATCTAATGTTCAAGTTCAATGAAGTGCCGGAAGTGCGATCAGTTGCCAATCTGATAGATTGCTTGGTCCGGCACCGAACCAACTTAACCTGCACCGGGGTACGATATACTCATCTTTAACGGCAATTATTAGACTTCTCACGGCATGAAGCGTCAGAATATGTTGTTAGATACTCTTGAAGCTACAAAATCTTTTTGGGAGACCAGATCTCAGCAGCCCATGTTTTGAAAATCGGGTCAAAGAGGAAAAATCTCCTCCTACAAGGACCTCAAAAGAAACTTTCCTCAGACGAAAACTCACATTGTAGACAGAGTATGCTCCATCACATGCTGCTACGACCTGATCCTTGTGCTTCTGGTCGGCCTGGAAGGGCTCTGCTCCAAGCTCCCGTAGGGGCTTCAGCTTCTCACAATTGGGGTTCTGCCTTGAAACGCCCCGCACACGGTACTTGCCACTCTTGATCAGGGCCTTGACGACACTCTTGCCCTGCGGATGTGCAGCTCGGATTTGGAGGATGAAGTGGCCAGAAAAACGGTTCGCATGATTACTTTCTGAAGATGGATTGAGCAACCAAATTACGCCAACTCTCAGAACACTGCCGCAGGTCCACTGCACCTCAGGCCGCTTATAAAGCGCAAGCATCAGTTTTATCCTCTTACTCAGCTGTCTTCCGGCTTTTCAGGCAGAAGTTTGCGTTTCTGGTTGGATGAGAACCATCTAGTTATTCGATGGGGGCACTGCAGCAGGCAACAAAAGAGCAGTAACCAAGAAGCCGGACAATCCATGCAGCTCGTGCCCGTCATCGATTCTTTCTCACCTGTAAACCTGTCGCCCCGAACACCGTCACTAAAGGCTTGTCTTCTGCCATTTTGGCGATGCGAAGCAGCCGAAAGAGAGCTCGAAGGCGCGAGTCTATGATAGCCAAGACGTAGGCGCAATCTTGTTGTTGTTGATATGACCTCCAGACGACCTCACGAGAGAGACCTGCTAATCAGCATCTGAGAGGAGGAATGAAGAATGAAGAATGAAGAATATCTACTTCGAGCAGAAACTCAAAGCTCGAGTCTATTGGCCGTAGTCGAGACCTTCGACTCGCATCTGCGCATCATGCTAGATTGTTGTGAAGGAAGCCGGTGCCTCCCTTGAGATCCACTCTGGTTCCACGATCATTGAGCAGGGCTTTTTCCTTATGCATGCACGACTCTTGTGGCAGCCAATTGTTATCGCGGCGGAACTGGCCTTCTAGGCTGAGCTGCTGGCATGCGGTGACGTGCCAGGGCGCCGCGCCTGAGGGGGCGCGTCGCAAGTAAGATTAGCCGCGGCAGCGCCGCCAAGATCTGGCGGCAGCTTCAACTTAGGTATCACACTGCAGAAACTTGATGTCGCGGCCGCGACGCGCCGCATCGCGCCATTTTTTTCAACTTGGACAAGGGGAAGAATCTTTCATGCAGTTTTAGGAATATAAGAAGCTGCTTGCGCTGAAGGGAATGACAGCGACTGCTGAGATAATCAGTATCTTCAGACGTTGACGTGCGTTGACGTCGACTTTAACGCTCCCGCTACAACCAGGGCCAAGTGGAAACTCATGCAAATGCCTCCCAGATCTGAAAGCCCATATATCGCATCTTACCTTTACACTGTACTGCCATTTGCAGCAGGGGCAATTACCCGTCAAGCAGGAGCTGGTGAACGGGAGTCGAGTATTTCACCCGTTCCTCGCTTGCGTGTTCGCCGTGACAAAATTGACCGAGTCCTATGCAAGCGCTTGCATAGGAGACACCGACAAAACGACTGAAGTCACATAATCAGCATGCACTTTCGGCACAATGCCAGAAATAGTTGGTGAATCGCAAGTCTGTCCCTTTCACATTGCGTATAAAGGCGAGCTGCCTAAGTATTTCTGCAGGGCAATCGTGATGCAACGGAAAGCCGGTCGCTCTCTGATCTTGTCCCTCGTTTCGAATTGCATCAAAAGCTGACCTCCGAAAGCTGGATTTGGAAGGTAAAAAAGAGTCGTTGATGTGTAAGTTAGCCTTGGTCACTTAATTTCCATCTTCGTATTTCAACGAATGATCCAAGGCTCGGCATATCATAATTAAGTTATGCGCCAGACAAGAGGCGAGATCGGGAGTCGAGTCATAATTAGTTTGTTGCTTTTTTATCTCTCGCGCCAATCTACAAATCTCCTAGCTCCTTTCAGCCTGCACAACGGCCGTCGCGTTAAGTGTGAGCGGCCTGGCTCTGTTATTCTAAGGCAACTTTTTCTGATCTGCCATCGTATACCCAAACATATTGGATCAATCCGTGTATGAAATGCACCAATCGAAACGTGGATCTATATTTGCCTAATGCAACAGATTATTTACCCGCAATTCGCATTCATCGCTTGGCAATCTTCACGCGTCGTTGAGTGCACACATCTGCACTCCTAAAACATGTTTTAGGCCATAAAAGAGGCGTGCACGTTCAGTGCCGAGTGCCATTTCAAATCAGTCAAAACAACGAAGCCGACCAAGAATTGCAGACATTGGATCCAGCCTGTCCGCAGAGATGCACGTGACCAGCCTGATTGCAAAAACTCTAAAGAATCCACGGTGCCTCGGCATCGATATTGACGCTGCTATGTCAAGTTGCTGCAGGATAAGACGTTGGCAATGAATGATCACGGACTCAGCCACTTATGTACTCAACGAAGCAGTTCTGTTCTTCCAAGCTGTTCAGCAGCCACGCTCCCCCGCCGGTTACCAGACTCTTACTAACTCGAAGCTGCCGTAACTCACACTGCAAGAGCTTAGGAAAGCCCAAGGCTATGATCGGAAGGCACCCATCTACGCTTAGGCACCTCAGGCCTGCCAGATTTTCCGCAAGCTCCGAGATGGCCCTGTCCGTTATAGCCTCTAGGTTTGACAAACACAGATTGGTCAACCGACGGCAGCCTTTCCATAGACTCGTCACGCCCTCGTCAGTCACCCACTGACAATTCGCCAAATTTAAGCTCTCCAGATCCGGACACCCCTTTGCTATTTTCGCGACCACAGGATCCTTCAGTCCGGGGCTGCAGTCCTCCAGGTCGAGCACTCGCAGTCTAGTTAACGAGGCGATGCTCTCCAGCCCTCGTTCCCCCAGCTGGTTGCAATCCTTGATCTCCAGGCATTCCAGCGTTTCCGCTGCCGGCCCCCGACTTAGGCTCACCAACCCCTCGTCGCTGAACATCGCACACCCCACCAGAAACAACTTCCGGAGCTTCGTTAGCGTCCCGATCGCCGCCAGCGCCCGGTCGTCGACCCGCTTGCAGTACGTCAGGTTCAGCACCCGCAGCTCGCAGCAGCCACGTGTCACGCTCTCCAGCCCCCGCCCCGTCACCTCTGAGCGGTACGCCAGCGAGAGGTACTTCAGCCTTCGGCAGTTAGCCCCTAACGTGTCCAGACCGTCGTCGGTTAGCAGGCGGCCTGCCTCCCCTTCCCGAACTAGAGCGGGGTGCACCTCCTCCATGATCTCCCGGTACTCCTCGGTGAACCGCTTCTGACCCAGGTTAAGGATCTCTAACCCTTGGCAGCCAGGGAGAAACTCCTCGAGCAGCCCGTCCGTGATGTCCATGCCGCAGCTTCGGACGTCCAGGTCGGTTAGCGCGGGGTAGCGGCTAACCAGGCGGGTCACGTGGTCGGAGTCGGAAACCTTGAGGTGGCGCCGCGTGTCAGCTTCGGCCAGGTACCACTCTCTGCAGACCAGCGACGCGGCTTTGCGGCGCTTGCCGGTCAGCCGCCGGAAAATCTTACGCAGGACGTCCGGAGGAAGCTGCGAAGCCATCTCAGGCTCCTATGACGTGCTGGACGAAAAATCCTGACACTGGGCTAAGTCAAAATCACTTTGCTTTTGGACCCAGTTGCTTGCGAATTTCAACGGTTGTTGACCTGCGAGCGGTTGTTCTCTCTCTGCTTTCTCGCACGTTCTGCCCCTTCGCTGTGCCTCCGAAGATTCTATTTGTTACCCCTTCCTAATACCTTCTTCTACGACCGCTCTACCGCAGAAGAAGCGGGGGAGTCGAATTGCTAGACCAGGTGCACCAGCATGGCCACCAGTTCCGTCTCTCCGATGTTCACAATCTCGTGCTTGACCCCCCCTTCGTGCCACTTGACACTACCCGCCGCAACAAACCCCCCGCTGAATGGAGATGGGGAGCTGCCCTCGGCCTCGAGCACCCGGAGGTATGCCCCGGTCAGAAAGAGGGCGACCCCACAGTGGCTGCCGTAGCTGTGCAGCCCGGTGGTTTGTCCTGGGGGAAGGGTCAGCTTGTGGACAATGATCTGTGGCCAGACGTTCTTGGTAACGTGAGTGTAGCCGCAGCGGAGGAGGGCAGACTGGTTGAGGTCTGGGGCAGGGGTCTCGTCTGCAAGTCGACAGGACAAGAAGCTCAGTATGAGGCGCACTGGACATACAAACCTGCCTTGAGAGCGTATTTCTTCGTGAATAAGGTCTTCTAAAGTTTGTCTTCAAGTCCAAAGTCTGAAGTCTGCTACAGGTCAGCTGGCGCCTTATGGCCACCAAAAACGAAGGTCACTACAAGGACTCCGGGGCCAAAAAGTTACCCCTTGCTTGATACGCTGACCTTTTATGGCCTCATTGAGCATTTCCGCTTCAATTTAGCCGAGGTTCAAAGTGCGCTCTGACATGGAACACTTTGAATGACCAAGTCCCATAAAAGGCCTTTGGACACCTTCCAACGTGAGGCGCAGAATAAAGAGTTTCTCACCAGAGCTGTCTCCTGATGGTAAAAGCTCCACTCCCAGGATGTGAAACGCGTTCTTGTTCTCTGCTTTGAAGTGGACACGATGGACCAGCTCCTTACTCCTGCAGGTAAGAGCTTTTGAGGAAACGAACTTTGACAGCCAAAAGTGGACCAGGAACCTCAAAGAGCGTTTAGAATGAATCTAAGCAAGATCTATGTGGCCATGCCAGAAAAATCCACTTCTTCTTACAAAGAATCGTTGAAAGCAAGGAAAACATCTGGCGGGTCTCGCAAGTGGCTTGTATCATCTTGGATGACTTTACAAACAGCTGTACTGCCCTGACAATCTTGCGGAATACAGAAAAGCCCATGATTTATTCTCCAAAACGTCTGACCAGGGGTTTTCGTGGCCTCACCTGCACATCAGTGCAAGAGTGCCTTGTGGTTCGAGGACTGTGTCCTTGAAATCGTCACCAGCTTCTTGCATGGCGCCATGGCCCCCAGCAATGAGCGCATAGAAAGTATCGTTGTAGTGCCTGCGAAGAAAAGGATGCCTTAAAATAACCTTCAATGTTTGCTGTGCAACCGGGACTATGCTGCTCCCGCCCTTCTGAGGTGTTGAGAGGCAGTTTGTTGTTAAAAGACTTAGCACAAATTGAGAATGAAGCAAGCATGAAGCCCTCGCCTAACTCTTTGAAATTTGTACACTCAGTTGCAAGGTGCAGCACCCAAGTTCAGCACCATATTTGAGCCAGGTTTCTCCATTGCACCCTAAGTGAGCTTTATGCAACCCACTTTTTGTGCATGTCCATTTTATGGATCATCTACGAACTTGCACCACCACTTTAAGCAGTACTTTGTTAAATGAAGCTGGTGGCAAAACCTGCGAATGCACTTACATCAGGCATGGACACGCCCATCAACACGAAGCGGCCGATGGGGCTACCAACAAAGGGGCACTGGACAAGTTTACAACTTTTCTTCCGACCAGGACCACAGCATTGTGAATCATATGCCAGAATTGTGCTCACCTATGATACAGGGTGGTGTCAGAAGGCTTCACCAGCGTGTCGTAGCAACGAACTTTGGAGTTCTGGAATAGAACATGATGCCTTGGCTCCTGCTCTATCTCCACATACTCTATGCTGGATCCATCTGCGAGCTTGTGTATGGGCATCTTGCTTGCTATTAGCCCCCTCTCTGTCTTTGCAAACTCCCAGAACCGTGGACAATGTGATGGATGGCAGTCTTTTCAGCTGCCGATTGCGCCTTCCACTCGACGAAGACGAAGACAGTGCATGTGAGCTTGCAAGTTGCAGCTACAACAGTATTACAATTACTCTACACATGATGGCAACAATTAATGCTGCAGAATTATATCCATCCGGATTCCTGATTCCTGGTACCTCAGGCTGATGTCTCTTCAATTTAGGTAAAGTAAGCTCCAGGTAAAGTAAGCTCCCAGCCTAACACTAAAAACCTAACCTCCAAAATCACCCGCTCCGCACCCGAACCCACCCTAACCCCCAAGCTAACCCCACCCGTCCCAGGCTGCTTGGGTTACTTTACCTGAAGCTTACTTTACCTAAATTGAAGTCTTATCTCAGGCTCCAGGTCCAGCTAGGAGTCAATTTCGAGCGAAGAGAATATGCGCGGAAGTTCATCAGCGGTAATTTGCGCACAGAGGCGGTACAAACAGACGTGACAAAGGGGCCGTTAACGGCTCACTCAGGGGTTCATGGGGCACGATAACGGTTCGCGAGTCGCTTACGAGCACGCGCAGAAAAGATTACTTTCAAACATCGCGCAGTTGAGCCAGGTGCGCAACCACGACGTGAGCAACTGCCATTGCCAAGCCCATGAGTAGGTGGTGCACAACCCTACAACCCTATAACCCTGTGCAGCTTTGTGCAATTGGTCCTTGCGAGAATCCTGAATCCTGATTGTCTAAACTTGAGCGCTCTCCATTCAGGCTGGGAGGCAGGTATTTTGGCAGATGACGTCTTTCTTTTGAAGATGCTTACGTCCGCCGGATAAGTCTTCTTTTTATAGCAGTTCAGCGCATTGGATCGAGCCAGCAAAGAAGATGGACGGCCTCGAGAAGCTTGAGTACCTTTCCCTTGTTTCCAAAATCTGCTCGGAGCTGGAGACACATGTCGGGTTTGCAGACAAAACCCTAGCAGAGTTCCTGATAGAATTGGCAGGGAATCACACGAACGCTGACAGCTTTGGCAAGGCGTTGATAGAGAATGGGGCGGAGCTGCCGCCCTACTTTGTGAGCTCCCTGCTCACGATCATTCAAAAGGTGCGGCCGCCGAAGAAAGCCAACAAGGAGAAGGCCGCTGGGACTGCTTCCAAGAAGCCGACCGCAGAATTCCCGGGGCTTGCAATCCAAGATGATAGGAAGCGGGTGGAAGAGATGGAGAAGGAGTTGCTGGCGGAGAAGAGAGAGCGGAACGGGGATGCAGCAGAGGAGCGGGGGGGCAGGTCAGACAGGGAGGAAAGGCACCGGGGAAAGGACGATGATAGAGACCGGAATGGGCACCGGGAAGAGAGGAGAAGAGATAGGGATGGTAGAGACAGGAGGGAGAGGGATGGCGACCTGAGAGATGGAGATAGGGTTAGGGATGGGCGCAGGGAATCGGACCGGGGGGGCAGGAGGGGCAGGGAAAGCAGTAGGTCGGCCAGCCCTGAGCGGGAGCGGATGCTGCCGCCTCCGCCGCCCGGCCGGCCACCACCCGCGCCATCGGGCGACATCGCAGAATTCGAGGTCTACAAGGGCAAAGTCACGCGGATCATGGACTTTGGATGTTTTGTTCAGATCGACGGGAGGGACCGGAAGGAGGGGCTGGTGCACGTGTCGCAGATGGCGAATCGGCGGGTGGGGAACGCCAAGGATGTGGTGGCGAAGGACGACGTCGTGTGGGTGAAGGTGCTGTCGGTGACGGGGAACAAGCTGAGCCTGAGCATGCGCGATGTTGACCAGAAGACGGGGCGCGATCTGCTGCCGATGCAGAAGAGGGAGACCGCGGAGGACTTTCGGAGCAACCCTAGCGGGCCGTCCGGGGGAGGGGGCCTGAAGGGCATCTCAGGGATTGTGGTGAAAGACGATGATGAAAGCAACGTGCGGCGGCCGGGGAAGCGGCTGTCGTCGCCTGAGCGTTGGGAGGTGCAGCAGCTGATTGCTTCGGGGGTGTTGGACCCGAGCGAGTACCCGACGTTCGACGAGGAGTCGGGGCGGGGGTTGCTGTATGCAGAGGAGGAGGAGGAGCAGGAACAAGAGGTGGAGCTGAACGAGGACGAGCCGGCGTTCCTGCGGGGCCAGACGCACTTCAGCGTTGATGCGTCGCCGATCAAGATCGTGAAGAACCCGGACGGAAGTTTGCAGCGTGCGGCGATGACGCAGAGTGCGCTGGCAAAGGAGCGGCGGGAGCTGAAAGAGCAGCAGTCGCGCAGCATGCTGGACAGCATCCCCAAGGATCTGAACCGGCCGTGGGAGGACCCGCTGCCGGAGCAGGGGGAGCGCCACCTGGCGCAGGAGCTGCGGGGGGTGGGGCTGACCGCTTACGACCAGCCGGAGTGGAAGCAGGAGGCGCTCGGCAAGGCGCCGACGTTCGGGCAGCGGTCCAAGATGCCGATCCAGGAGCAGCGGAAGAGCCTGCCCATTTACAAGCTCAAGAGCGAGCTGGTGCAGGCGATTGTGGACAATCAGGTGCTGGTGGTCATTGGCGAGACGGGGTCCGGGAAAACGACGCAGATGACGCAGTACCTGGCGGAGGCGGGGTTCACGAGCAAGGGCAAGATCGGGTGCACGCAGCCGCGGCGCGTTGCGGCGATGAGCGTGGCCAAGCGCGTGGCGGAGGAGTTTGGGTGCCGGCTCGGGGAAGAAGTTGGGTACGCAATCCGGTTCGAGGACTGCACGGGGCCCGAGACGGTGATCAAGTACATGACGGACGGGATGCTGTTGCGGGAGTTGCTGCTGGACGACACGATGGCGGGGTACAGCGTGATCATGATCGACGAGGCGCACGAGCGGTCGATCAACACGGACGTGCTCTTCGGGCTGCTGAAAGGGGTGGTCAAGCGGCGGCCGGACCTGAAGATGATCGTGACGAGCGCCACGCTCGACGCCGAGAAGTTCTCGTCCTACTTCTTCAACTGCCCCATCTTCACGATTCCGGGCCGGACGTTCCCCGTCGAAATCATGTACACCAAGCAGCCGGAGACGGACTACCTCGACGCGGCGCTCATCACGGTCATGCAGATCCATCTCACGGAACCCGAGGGGGACATTCTCGTCTTCCTAACCGGCCAAGAGGAGATCGACACCGCGTGCCAGATTCTGTACGAGCGCATGAAGGGCCTTGGGCCAAACGTCCCGGAGCTCATCATTCTCCCCGTCTACTCGGCGCTCCCATCCGAGATGCAGACGCGCATCTTCGACCCTGCGCCCCCCGGCACGCGCAAGGTCGTGGTCGCGACCAACATCGCGGAGGCGTCGCTGACGATCGACGGGATCTTCTACGTGGTCGACCCCGGGTTTAGCAAACAGAAGGTGTTTAACCCGAAGCTGGGGATGGACTCGCTCGTCATCTCGCCGATCAGTCAGGCGTCGGCGCGGCAGCGCGCGGGGCGGGCGGGGCGCACGGGGCCCGGGAAGTGCTACCGGCTGTACACGGAGGCGGCGTACCGCAACGAGATGCTGCCGACGTCAGTGCCGGAGATCCAGCGGACGAACCTGGGCATGACGGTGCTCATGCTCAAGGCCATGGGTAAGTCAGTGGTTTGGCATGAATGAGCAGCTTGGCACTTCAACACTGGATTGTAGATGGAAGACCACCCGATTTCAAGAGCTGAGCACTTATTTGGAAGCTTTTGGCTGAGGCTTGTTGGTGGCTAAAGCGCCAAAGTGGAGGTCAGTGGTGTGCTTTGCTCGCTAAAACTTGATTCTCCGATGTGAAGGCATGCCTATCTGAGCCTTTTTAATGCAGGCATCAGCGACCCGTTCAGGATGCCCTTCTTGCATTTGAAGTTCCTGTCGTCCTGGTTTCAGTCAGTCACAGCGCCAATGGAAACTTTCCGTCTCTTTTTCCTCTTCGCTCCCGCCCCCTTCCTGTGCAGGTTTCAACGACCTGTTCGACTCTTACCTCTAACACTGGAAGCTCCTTTCTCTTCTTGCTGATAATAAAAAGCGAACAAGTTCTCCCACTGTCGCACCTCGCTACATATCGGCTTTGCTCACGCCCTTCCTTGCCTTCCAAGCGTTGACAACCATTTGAAAGTTCATGCACTGGACGTTCCTATCCCAGAATCTCGGAGGTTTAGTGCTAACAGCTGTACTTTACCTCGCTCCTCTCCGCCCACGTGATTCGCTCACGCCCCCTCTTTCCTGCGCGGGCATCAACGACCTTGTCAACTTCGACTCCCTTGTCTGGTCTTTCTGTCTAGGTCTTTCAATTTCGCCGAGCTGTTCATTCCGCCACCCCTTCTCACACGCATGTTTCACTAACACTCCCTCTTTCCTGCGCAGGCATCAACGATCTTCTCAACTTCGACTTCATGGATCCACCACCCCCGCAGGCGCTCATCTCCGCCATGGAGATGCTGTACAATCTGGGCGCGCTCGACGAGGAAGGCCTGCTCACGCGCCTCGGCCGCAAAATGGCCGAGTTCCCGCTAGAGCCGCCCATGTCCAAGATGCTGCTGGCCGCCGTCGATCTCGGGTGCAGCGACGAGATCCTGACCGTCATCGCCATGCTGAGCGCGCAGAACATCTTCTACCGGCCGCGCGAGAAGCAGGCGCAGGTGCGTGCGCGGGTTTCTCTGTTAGCTTCTCTTAGCGGTTGTTGCATCCCCCCGTTGGCGGCCGTGATGGAGCGGATTCTCTGATCGTTGGGCGTTGATTCAGTTGGAACGGAGAGGTTCTTGGTTTTCTTGTCCCGGAAGCCTCAGAGCATTCTATCAAGGGTCAGAATGGTCAGTGGAGATAGCGCAGGTCTGGCTCTTTGATTGGCACTCAACACAAAAGAGAGGGCGACGAGCTTTTGATGCCACGATCCGCCGGTTGGTCTCAACCTTCTTTGTAGCGCATGCTGGACGAATCTGCGATAACGGACGATCCAGGTTTGGGCGGACATTTTAAGACCGTATATGCATTGCGTTTTTGTCCTTCCTCCGATTCCATCCTTTGTTGGTTGTAATGACACTCTGTGATGAAGGCCCAGTCTGCTAACGCTTCGGCAGGGTCTTAGGTGACTCCAAGTCGTCCTTCACAGAAAACGCTTTGGCAGAGGACCTAATTTTTGGCTACTGTCCAGACTGCTTCTTTCACCTTTCCGTCCGTATGATACTGACGCCCGTTTCCCCTTTCTTTCGTCTCCAGGCTGACCAGAAGAAGGCCAAGTTTTTCCAGCCGGAGGGCGACCACCTGACGTTGCTCGCCGTGTACGAGAGCTGGAAGGCGCACAACTTCAGCTCGCCCTGGTGCTTCGAGAACTTCGTGCAGGCGCGCAGCCTGCGCCGCGCGCAGGACGTCCGGAAACAGCTGCTCACCATCATGGACAGGTGAGGCGTCCGGGAGCAATTGCGGACGAATGGGTTTTTATTTGGTTTGACTGAAATTGGGTCGTGAACGGGAGTGCGGATCAGAGTGGGCGTCCGAAAGCAAGACGGATTGTTCGCTTGGGTTTGGTCGTGGGGTTCCTGTGCTTTCTCTATGACGGGGACTCTGAAAGGTGCGTGTGCATATGACTTTTTCGCGAAGTGGATTTGAGACACCGTTTCTTTTGAGGATTTTGTCTTGTGCGTTGTCAGAACGGGTGTAGCTCTGCTGCGGAGCATCGTTTGTGTTGCCGCCCGAACCCGATTGCCACCGGAAAGGAACGATCAAGCCGAGACTCTCGAGCCGCGGGCAGAACTTTGTGCCTGTTCATGACGGCACAATCGGAATCCTACCGTCTACGCAGTTCAGAAGTTTGAAGCGAAAACGTCTTCGTACGTGCGAAAGCTGTCTCTGGTTCTCACCTTTCCGGCAGGTATGAACTAAGCGTGCTGGATAAGTGCCGTTTTGGGCCCGCTCATATAGAGCTCCAAACATGCATCGAAACACAACGTTTCCTGCCAGAACCGGTTCTGACTTTATGGTTGTCCTTTCATCAGGTACAAGCTGGACGTGGTGAGCTGCGGGCGCAACTTCAACCGCGTGCGCAAGGCCGTCACGAGCGGCTTCTTCTTCCATGCGGCGCGCAAGGACCCGCAGGAGGGCTACAAAACCATCGTCGAGAACCAGCCGGTGTACATCCACCCCAGCAGCGCGCTCTTCCAGCGCCAACCCGACTGGGTTATCTACCACGAGTTAATCCTAACCACCAAAGAGTACATGCGCGAGTGCATCGCGATCGACCCCAAGTGGCTCACGGAGCTCGCGCCGCGCTTCTTCAAGTCGGCGGACCCGAACAAGATCAGCAAGCGGAAGCGGGCTGAGCGGCTCGAGCCGCTGTACGATAGGTATAACGAGCCGGGGTCGTGGCGGCTGTCAAAGCGGCGGTGGTAGAGCAGGTAGGAGTGGGGTCTGTTGACTTGAGGGAGGACTGGGGAGTAGTAATGATGAAGATGTGGAAAACGCGCAGTTATTGGGCGGGGGTTTAAGCAAGTAAGTGTTGCACGTTGCAAGGGCCGTGTTTCTCTTTACTTCATTGCCGTGCGCCCAAGCGGACAGGGGCTCTGTCTTGTTCTGGTCAAACGATGTACTGCCTTTTCAAGATGATGGTCGGTGACTTGTGCCTGGATTGTGTCCGCTCGTAGACGGGTGGGAAACACATCAAGTGTCTGTAGGCTTCGTGGAGGGTCATCGGCTCAATTTGCACTTTTCGAAGATAGAAGTATGCTACATTTTTCTTGCCGCGCACCATGTTTTGGTAGTCTGGCTAGCTCCGGAAGCTGCTGCATACTTCCTTGCAGCACCATGATCTGCAGCCAATGTTTAGCAGGACTATCTGATTGAAGCAAAAGGCGGCCTGCACTGGATCAAAAGTATATGGTTGATCAGGCGGATCAAGGGCATGCATGCATGAGATGCGCTCCGGACACATATACGAATCATCCCGGATCCGGTAGGAATTATGTTGTAAATCGAGCCCGGCAGCCAAAGCTCTTCTTAGTACAAAGAGTTTCGAGGATATATTGTTACGTCACGTGCTGCGGTATACAGTAACATCGCATGGCGGCTTCTGCTGCATCATATATAGAGTCAGTGCTGTTGGAATTAGCATGCTGAGCCTAATGATCTACCCTCGTTTATATCGTCTTGACTACAAGATTGCCATGCGTCGATTGCAGATCCACATGGATGACTGTTGGAATCTGAAGTTCAAGCCACAGCTATAACGTAATTAAGCCTTTATCGATCCGATTGTCATGGTTGATGTTTACGAGCTGCAATGTACGTTGAACATGCAATCCAAAATTATGCAGCTCCTGCACTACGTAGCACGTATGCAAAATACATTTCTCTCAGTCATTACGTAAACGACGCAGATGGTGGCCCCAGGAAATTCACCTTTCGCCATGGTCAGTTCAATCCGGGAATGCTACAAGTCGTTCTTGTCAACAAACGTCTACCCCAGATCTACTCCAGTAAGTGTCAGCAGTAAGAAAGACTAGCTGCCTAGCGTGCGTCTTTGTGAAGGTCATGAAGTCAGAGTCCTACAGGTACGTCACATAAGGCATTGCGAGAACGTTGACCTGCGGAAGGAGCACCGGCTGAGCCCACACTGTCGTCCGCTTTTCTTCTTCCGAGGCCTCTCCCATCTTTACTTCTCGGGGCTTTGGTTTCCGAAGCCACCACCTCGTGCTATCTTCCCGGTTCCCTTTTTCGATTTCATTCAAACGAGCTTCCTCCGCCTTTGCATCGAAGGCAACAGCTTCCCCTTCCGATTCACCTTTCTTCCGTTTCTTTTTCGAATCGACTCTTGCTACATGTTCCGCCTCATGTGTCGCTCCGTCCTCTAGTTGATGAGATGGCGACGAGCCATTGGCTGTGGAAGTTTCTGCAGCTTTCCCCCTCTCCTGCTTCTCCACTTGTTGACGGGGCGGTGCGACAGAAGGCTGCCCCTGTTGCCCCTCTTTCACTGGTTCTTTCGGCCCTGTTTTGATCTGCTTGGGGGGCGGCTTCTCTGCAACAAGCGAAGTGCATGCCAAGTTCAGGAGATCAAGCCGCAGTGCTTTCCGTAGTGAAATTTGAAAGGGTTTGAGGAGTCTGTAACTTGTTTAGGCTCCTGGAGTGTCACAAACTAACAATTCATTGAACCATCATTGTCAAGCAGTTGTACAACCCTGCACCTAACTCCAAGCATAGCCAGAATGAAAAGTCATCGGACTGAAAGCTTTCCAGACAGGGTAGAGTGTATATTGTCGTACAGCTTGACAAGACGCAACTGCTACAGCATGATACCGCGCTTTATTGACTACATACCAGGTTTGCTGGCCTCAGCTTTCCGTTTCTTGCCCCCTTGCTTCTTGTCCTCTTGAATCACGATCACTTTCACTGGTTCCTGTTGACTTGGAACCTGCAGGTGCATCGTCAATGTTGGTTGGGAGGCAGAAGAAGGTGAAAATACCAGCACAGAAGCGGCTCCGTAGTCAAAGTCATGAGCAGCAAATTCCATGTCTGTATTTGAAGGCTCAGAACTAAGGGGGACAGAAGCTTGAGTAGAGGCCAAAAATAACCACTCCATGAGGAGGGTCAGGCTCAGCTCCTCCTAAGATCGATCACCTGTGACAGTTTAGCCAGGGCCCACTAAGAAGCAGGGCACATTGAGAATACATGTGCAGCCAACAAAGGAAAGAGCCGTCCGGATCACCGCCGGTGGCCGAGCTCGCGCCCGCACTCGCCCCTGCGGGGTTCCATCTCAGATTGAATGTCATGAATAACAAAACCATACGTGCATGACCAACATACCTTGGCTGGATCCACAGTTTTCTTGACATAGCCCTCGGGCGGGAACTTGAATATTGTCCGCGACATACTGTTTCCCCAGCCAGCGGGCGCTGATTGCCGGGGCTTGGTTATGCAGCTTCTTTTGACCCGCTTCTGGCCAATTAGCGCTGCGAGCTACTCGAGATAGAGACAACCGCGCATGGAGCAATTGGGACAGTGCTGCTCGCTTGCAAACCTTTTGAACCCGGCTAACTTGCCACAATTGGCCCCTTTGCCCCCTTGCCCTACTGCCGAGCAGGTTCTGCATCCGCCTCTCTCTTGGCACTCTCATTATCCACGCCTCAGGAAGATGGACACAAGATCATGCACACCCGGTGTCAGCGGCAAATGCCCTGTGTGCCAAGGTGTTCTGATGGAACATTGCATCAAACCCTTGCTTTCAATGCAGCTTCAGCATAACGTGCACCAGTCAGGCCCAATTTCGATGGAAGTGATCTTTACATCATTTGAGACGCCGTCAGGCCAGATCGGCGAGCTCCAGCATCAACGATGAGGACAATGGAGGACCGCCACGCCAGCCTCAGCGCATGAAAGAGGCCGCCTGCACTGTGCAGGTCATGTTGCCGCTTGCATCTCGACAAGCGGGCTCATGTGCCCCAAACTCGACTCCAGAATGAAGCCGCATTTCACCCCTGCCGCCAACTGGCAAAGTTGCCCCTGCCAGAGGCTTTCTTTTGGCGCAGCAAGCCCAACAAGCGCCCTGTTCAGCGCCTTCTGAATCTGAACTCATGCCCAACATGGACTGAGCAACATCTCTTCAACAGGCCGCCCGCGCGCATACAACCAGGCGCCCGCGGCCAGGGCTGTGAGCCGGCGCGCGCGAAATATAGGCGCCCGGCGAGGGGTCCAATCGAGTCAAATGTACTCAGCTAATTTTTCGTACAGCAGCCCTGGTAACACGTGTTCACTCATGATCATGATAGGGTATAATCATCGATAGGTATAAGGCTGTGCTTCGTACGTCACGTCCAATGATTGCAGCAGTCGACCGACTCCCGAGTCCGGATTGATTTCCGGGAATGATTTCCGACCTCAAGGCTCAGCCTGGCCTCGCAAATTGGCAATCTGCACTCAGGAGTCAGCACGCAACCAGCTATAGAGTCCAGACGTGACATTCGCGCAGCAACTCATGCAGTACTCCGCTAGCGTCGCCGGCCGTACAGCTTCAAGATTGCACGGGTGACGGGGGATTGCCTGGCAGTCATAGGACCCGGCTTCCCTTCCCACGGCCACGGCCACGGCCAAGAAACTGTACATTGTCATTGGACTCGGAAGGCAAGATGGAGGGGATCGTTTGAAGGAAGAGCTGGTTCTTGTTTTCCTTCAATGTTCCCTTTAAATACGGTTTGAAAAAAAGTGAAAACTTTGTCAACATTCTCGTCAGAAGAAGGCGACGAATGTTGGCATCCTCCACGAACCCTGGCCCTCCCAGCTCTTAGGCACTGGTTCTCCTCTTGTTCTCTCTAGCTCAGGCTGTCTTCTCTGCTGAGAAGAGCTGAAGCATCTCAGCATTGACAGCCAATATGAGCGGGGCTATTGCGCAGCTGCTATGGACCCTCAGAAGGGGCAGCCCTGCCGAGCAGGCCCGAGCCGGCCACAAGATCTATCAGCTGGAATCGATGGGGGGGAACGCTTATAAGAACGACAAAGACATTGTGGCGGCACTCGTGGACCAAGGGGGGATCCCCCTGGCGATCGAGCTGATGGACAAGGGGTCAGCACCCGTGCAGGAGGCCGCGGCGCTCATCCTTCGGCCCATCTGTCAAAAGTGAGGGGATTGGACTCTTTGCATCTTTTCCCAGATTCTTGAATTCTTTGTCAGTCTCCCGGTGTACGTGCAAAGGAAGGTCTGAATGGGGAATGACGTTGGCTCACCCCAGTTTCTTGCTAGGCACATTGGACTCTGAACTCTGTTTTTCTCTCTGTTTTGAGAGGTAATGAAAGCCTGATCAGAGACTGACAATTGGCAACTGCTTCCTGGGGACCTAGAATGTCTGGAACGTGGCATTGCAGCCAGATAGGAATGTCAAGGCTCTGCATTGTCCCACTGGGACCAGTAGCTGGATGCTGGTTTAGTCAGCTTGCCAGCATTGCTGTGAAACCTGCTTCATACTGCGTGCAAATTACTAACAAGCACTATAAATTCTTTTAACGTACAAGGATGCTAACATCGTAAGCCTCATGTTGAACAAAAAGACAATACTCAACAAACAGTCGAACCAAAAACTCTGCTCGATTCTCTGCCCCACTTCTCTCTCTCCTTCCTTCCTTTCTACTTGATGCCCAGCGCCCTTTCATGGTGCTGCTCAGCAGGAGAATCCGAAGCACAGCCTCTTTTGTTGCTTTTGATACCCAGTCTTTCCTCACCGATACTCTCCATTGTCAACACCGCTGACCTATTTGGCACTCGCCCAACCTGCAGCATGGACAAAATTTGATAGGGACTAGCTTCTCACTGACAATGCCATCCCCTTAATCAGCAGCATAAAAAGAGCCCATCAGAAGATCGTCAAACTTGTAATATCCGCTTAACCTGCAGCATTGAAGAGTACCGTCAGAAGATCCTGGCAGCGGATGTCCTCCCCCCGCTGCTGAAGATGCTGCGGCAAGGCCCATCTGCGGGTCCCGCTCACTATGCTGCGGGGCTCATTGTCAACCTGGCGTACGCCAAGGGGGGACCGAAGCAGGTTCGGGAGGGGGGTGCACTCCCACTCTTGTTCCAAATGGTCCAAGAGTCCAGGTGGGAAGACGTTCACAAAGCTACTTGTTTGCTCTCATGGCCATAGGAGGCATCTTTGGGTTTCTGGTCTAAATCACAGCTCCAATTGCAAGAAAGCTATGAAATGTCGACATAAAACCTTTTGCGACTGCCGAGTTCAGGTCTTTGTGTCACATTGGCAAGCACAGAGTGCTTTCCCAATGCTTGGAGGTGCAATCCCTCTATTCGAAATCTATGGGACAGTTCTGGCTCGAGCTTTCAAGAGTGACAGGCAAGTGCTTCTCCGAGGATGCAATTAGTGACATAGAGGGTCGGATTTCGATGGGTTACCCAATGAGGAGCAAGGGGAATGTCCTCCTTTGAGGATGCCCAAAGTCGGTGATCGTGACATTCCTTGCTTTGTTACACAAAATTAAGACACTAACAGCAGCTATGCCCAGGCTAACCGGACAGTGTTGAACCCTTGCCCCTCAGGCCTATGCCTTTAACCGCCGCTTGTAAAGAGCGAAGACTGGTGCGTCCTATCTCGGACAATTTTGATTTCGGACGCGCAAATCCGAAACCTATTTCAAACTCACTTAACCCAGTCTGTGGCGGCTCATGCGAATCGATTCTCGATGTCGCGCTGAAACTGCCTTCAGGAGACGAGCCGCGGTCGACACCTGTTACACATGCGCGTGAGCGGCTGCAGACTGGATCACATAGTCCAAACTAAAATTCGGCTTTGTCATTCGAATTCGAAACGTCTGTTATTAACCGCACCAGTCTCAGCTAGAAGACTGCGTCATCACGATGTCCGACTGTGCACGGACTCAAGCAACTACCAAAGTCGGCATTGCAGGACCCCTTCGTTTGGGCGGTACCAAGCGACCGACGCGCTTGGGTCCCTCGCCAAGCACGAGGACGAGTGCGCGCGCGCCATCCTTGCCTCCGCGGGCCTGCTGCAACAGCTGGTCTCCGACCTGGCCGATCCAAGCGTCGCAGGTGGGGACACGTCTCCCCTCAGTCAAGTCTCCGTTTTGCAAGCCTATGTGACATGCCGTACGTTTGTCGTTCGCTCCGAGAAATGCTTTCTCCTCTCGTTCGTACATACTTTTGCGATTGAGTACCTGCCAACCGGCCTTTCCCTGATGCCGTCAGAGCCTACGACAAGAGAAGAAATCAGAGAAGAGCCTTCAAAAGCAACAGTCCGCCCGTTACTCCGAACTTCTACTCTGACAAACGAAGCACGCGTTTTGCTCTGCCAGCTGTCGCTGCTAGCACGGTCGGCCACGTGGGTCTGAAGCGGCCGTGGGCGCTGGACGCACTGCTGCGGTGTGGGGCCATCCCCGCTCTAGTTGCCGCTTTCGACACCCAGGACGACGACCAACTAGACCGGGCCGTCCATGCGCTGCTCCAGCTGGCGTCATGCGGGGAGTCAGTTCGACCGGCCATAGTGCAGGCGGGTAAGCACAGGAGCATGCGCTCAGCGGCAGACCGTTTGTCGGGGCAGCACTGTGAGTCGCGTACAATTGTTTCGACAAATCGTATTGAGCTGGCATGGCAGCCGAAAGTCCTCAAATTACTGCTCTTTGACTGTCTCATCGGGCATCCTGGATTTTCAACCACTTCACGTCTGCCGCAACGGTGATTATGAGCCGTTGCGCGAGCAGTTAACTTCCCCGTTGTCGACCCTGTCGTTCTCCTTATCCTCTGCACCAGTTCGTGGGCAGGGCCGGTAGCCTTCTTTCTTACCGGTACCTTTCCGGTACCCTCTCTTTCGCTTTCCTCTTACATTCTACTGCCGTATCCAGAACTTGTTTGTACACATTTCCCTCTTCGGTTTCAAAATCGTCGTGTCCTTTTAAATCGTACAGACTGTTTGTCTATTTCCGCCAGGCGGCTTGCCGGCGATCTTGACGGTCCTGGAGAAGCGGGACGTTCCCGACCGCTGCGTGCAGTCCTGCGCCGCGTGCATCATCTATTGGCTGTGGCAAATGGACAGCCTCCAGGGGCCGATCAACACCGCCCTCGCCAGCTTCGTCCAGGCGCTGGGGCCCAGGCTGGCGAGTAGCGTGGAAGCGGAAAGTGTGACTGCGCTCAAGGTGAGGATTTCTCCCTGCGCAAAGAGCTTTGTGATAAACTGACTGCCAGGCGGCAAGGGAAATGTCAAGCTTTCGGACCAGGCATCCGCTTCAGCAAGCACAAAAAGTGTTTTCTTTGCGACAAATCCTGTTTTCGCAGTCTCTCCTTTCTTCTGCCAGGCACTAACCACTTATCGCACTTCGTCTCGGTTCCGCCTGGTTCCACATCTTTTCTCGTTTCCTCAAGGGGCCTCGTCGCAAATTATGCTCACTGGCATTTACCTGCATCCACAACTCGCTCTCCTCTCCACAGGGCCTCTCCTTCCTGGTCGACCGCAAGAAGTTTCAGCAGCCCGAAATCTCCGCGTCCCTCGTCCAAACCGGGGTGATCCCCCTGCTCGAGTCCGCGGCCACGGACGCGCGCCCCGGCGTCCAAACCCTGGCCCTCCAAACCCTGCACGGCATGTCGCTGTCCGGAATGGTGCCCGCGGCGCGAGACGCGCTTCTCAAGCTTGATTTCGCGGCGCCAATTTTGAGAATGATGAGGAGTGCAGACCCGCAGGAGAGGGCGACCGGTGGCAAGATTCTGTGCGACATGGTCGCCTACGAAGAAAGGTGCGGGCTTCGAAGATCGATGATGTTTCTTGAGGCCGTTCCATGTGGCACAGTGCACGATGGCGCTGGTTGTAACTTTTCACACGCCTCTTCTGCCCAGAGAAGAGGCTTATGCACGAGCGTTACCCTAACAAAAAGGATCATCAGGCGCGTCTGAGCCACTGATATGTTGAGGATCACAAGGTACCCTTTCTCCAAGTCGTTCTAAGTAATGTGCATTAACAAAGTGGCCCCGTTCGCCTCTGCCGTCTTGACGTGTTCGCAATCTGCATCTGTAAGCATCGTTGCATCGTTGCGGCTGTTTCTGCCCTTCTCTCGTATAAGGACGAGTTTGGCTTGAAGAGCGACAAATTCTCTGGGCTATGTCTCAACAAAAATTGACGGTCCCCCCCCCTTCTGCGCAGGACGGACGCCTGGTGGGCGGACCCCCCCGGCACGCTCCGCCCCGCCGACTTCGCCGCCCGCCGCCTCGTCGATGCTGGCGTCATCCCGATCTGCTTACAGTGGATGCGTGACATCACAGAAACGGAGGCCGTGCGCTGCAGCGGCGGGCTCGCTGTCACGCGCATCTGCTGCTTCCGCCTGTGGGGCCAGGTGGCGGTCCAGCATTCGTCAGGCATTCAATGCGCGCTCGAGGTGCTGGTGCGGCCGGACACACCCCCGGCGCTGCGCCACAGATGCGCGGTACTGCTGCGGAACGCGCTGGCCAAGAATGCGCACACGGCGTGGACGTTTGTACAGGCGGGTGAGGGGCCGCTTCTCGATTGAAATTTACTTCATGCAGGCAGGTACGCCGTTTCCATGAGATTCTTCCAAGCTTTCACGGGTCAATTTCTGCTGATACGAGTTGAGGTGATTAGCCGCCAGAATCTTCCCCGCTTGGAGGGTGAAACTAGTCTTAGTTCGATTAAGTCTCATATAAAGTCTTTTTTCTCTCCATCCGGAATTTCACGTCTCAACACGTTTGCGACCCATATTCCTGATAAAGTGTACTTTCCGGCCATGTTGTAGGTGCTTTCGGAGAACACATGCATTCCCCCCTTTCCCTTACTCAAGAAGCTACACTTCTCACTTCAACAAAGCACTGGTCCACTTGTATGGGGAAACTTGTCGAGGTCTTCCGGGAAAGAAGTCCTCCACGAAGAAGGCTCTCGCTTATCCGTGCAACAACCAGTTTTCGCCCCCTAAAAGTTGAAACCCACCGCTGCCATTCCTTTTTAGGAGGCGTGTCCGCGTTATTCCGCGCTTTGGAGCTGATGGAGAAGGGCAGCCAACTGACCAGCACGGTGGAAGCCTTGATGACGACGCTTCATAATGTTTGGGAGATTGCGCCGCAGCGGCCGCACGTGTTTCCCGCCCTCAAAGCGTTCGTTGACCAGATCGCCGTGAGCGCGCGCGGGCCCTGGGAGAGGCGGGACCGACTGCTCATGGTGGGTACACAGATCGTTGACAGCCGTTACTTTTTTTCTAATGTTTTATGATAGTTTTTGCTTTTTTTATGCTGATAGATGTGAAAATAGCTGCTCATGGTGGGCATACTGATTGTTTTTGGGCTGTTTGTTCTTATGGTTCCTTGTTAGAAGTATTTGCGCACTGCCACTCGGGCCACACTGGCGCTTATGGTTCCTTGTTAGAAGTATTTGCGCACTGCCACTCGGGCCACACTGGCGCCAGT